AAACAAAAAAACAAAACACCAAAAAAAAAACCCCAAAAAAACACAACAAACGTATTTAAGATAAACGGAGCGTCTACTCAATTACGAGTGTCCATTAAGGATAACGTTTAAAGTAGTAAAAATATGTCGAATTAAAAAAATAACATCAATTAATCCTTTGTGTATATATATATATATATATATATATATATATATATATATATATATATATTTAAAGTAAAACAGACCACTTTATATATACTTAAATATTAGCTCTGTTCTTCACATTGAGCTCTCAGGATTTCGTCCTCCTTGGATTTACCAATTCGGTTTACCAATTTCTTTATAACTTATATATATATATATATATATATATACCACACATACAAGGGGTATTGGTAAAGTATGACTTACGGACATATTACGTTAAAACACCAGTTCCTGTATGATCACCGAATTTAAGCAACATCGAGCTTCACCAGAACGTAGATGGGTAACAGCTTGGGGATACCAAGTGCTATAAACTTAGACCTGCGGGTGGCGTAATGGATAATGGCTCAGAATTGTTAATCGGAGAGTCGAATTTCAGTTCCTTAGTAAGACTAAACCACTCTTGTTTAAAAAAAAACTTCTTGCAATCTAAAAATATTTTCTCGTTTTAAATAGGCTTCAAAGTGTTGATAGGCCGCAGAAAACAAAAACAAAAAAAATCAATCACTCAATAAGTAACATAAGGTACAGATATTTATTAACTCAGCATTGTGCATATTTTAGTAGCATTACTATTCTTATTTTGGTCGATATTCATGTCACTGAGAGTAATGCGCGTTTCCCATCGGTACGCAAACTGATATGTACGATCCTCAAACGTTAGATCAAATGTCTGGAACCACCATTGCACTCCAGCAACAACAGCGTGTGACACTGTTTCGCGAATAAATAACGTTGGGGCATCTCCACCTTTTAATAATTTGAAGGAGTCAAATCAGGATCATTTCCGGGATGTGGAACAGCATTTTAACTATATCGCTTGTACCACTCTTTTGTCAGGTTGCCCGTAGGAGGGATAGTGCTGTCGTGCAGGTGGATGACACCTTTGTTCAAACGCCATATTTCTTTTTCGACAAACAGATTCTTTCCGTATGCCAAGTGATTCACGGTATCTGGCATCCTTATTATCGTGCAAACATATTAATATATAATTTAGTATTTGATTTCTGAGTTGTGTAATTGTCAATATTCGTGTATTATTTCAAACTATTGTTCTCATCTTGGCTGATATCGATGTTATTATAGATACAAAATCTCTACCAATTATCATCAGGTGTTCATTGATTGACTCATATGAGATATATATTGATTATTGTAATATTTTATCTTTGTGATGTCAGTTATTTTTTCCTGTTGGAATGGTACTTAACTACCTGATACAATCCGGAATTAAATTCAGCAGAAACAAACAACAGTGTTATATTTTCAATAAAACTTCCCCATAAAAAGATTGTTTTTAGTTGCCAGTACAATTTTTGAATCCTGCTTTAGACGCCAGGTACCAGATAATTGCGTTGAAACAAGTACAAATAAAACTTGTAATCTTGAAGCTAGAAACTCTAGTCTAGTTCAAGTAGCTCAATAAGAAAATTCTGGCTTGTAAATTTCAATACAGTCAAAATGAAACTACTAACGTTCAACCACCACCAAGCAGACCCTGAAATTTCACCTATCATGATGGATGCGTCGTCTCCCAAGGAAGCACTGTCTTTAACCTTTATTGGGACTTAAGCTCTCACGAAACCGTAAATGGAGAGCATATATCCGATCTATTGATAAAGATACTGCGAGAAGGGTTGGTTCATCGTATCGCTCCAGTAAGTATCTAACCATTTACAAGAGCCAGATTAGAGCAAAAAATGGATTATTGCTGTCATATCTGGATTGGATTTAACAGTCGTCACTTGTCTGTCTTGATAGAGATCAAAAGCCTCTACGTGAACTTGTGGAGATTATTTTCATCCTACAACCCCTTTTCCCACAGACGAAAGTCGAGTCTCTTGCTGCTCGATCGCTACTTCCATTGCATGTGGTCTGACGAGCTACATTCCTTAGTCCCACCACCCCTAACCTTTATAATTGGGGCTCCAATGCCACATACACAATGCTTAATCATAGCCATTATTTTCGTATTCCATTAGTAAGGAGTAAGTTTCAATCGGGAAGCTTCTTCTCAAGAACTGCCGATTTGTGGAACAGACCCCCGGTATGATGTTTTTCCATTCATTACAATCTTGACCCTTCTAGTCTAGGGTTAACCGTTATATTTCCTGTATAACTCTATGAACTCCGCTTCTTGCCTTTCTAAGCTCATACAACACCACACAATAATACTCTAGCTTGAGTGGCCCTTGGGATTTGTATAGAAAAATGTATTTTATAATAAAATGACCACAAAAACGAGATAACCCGTGCTTGGTGTCTTAATAAAAACTACCGACAACGAATTATTGCGTGGTTGGCGGTCAATATGTTGGTTGATCTATCTATCTATCTATCTATCTATCTATCTATCTATCTATCTATCTATCTATCTATCTCAGTTTGATCATGTTTCTCTGTCTATTTATCTACCTGCACTTTTGTAGTTAAAATCTTTTAAAAAGTAGTATTTACAATTTTAAATAAATCTTTGAAATATTTAAACTCACGACTGACTAATTTATATCTTGACTTCAGCGTACTCGCCGAACAATTTGTTATGGAATCATATGACTTTAGTTTGATACAAAGAAATAAATGAACTTTTTCCTTTAAGTATTTTGGATACTTTGAAATTTAAGGTTACTTCATATCTTATCGTGAAGAAATATTTTGAAATAGTCTTCTTAGGCTCTCTCAAAATATTTATTTGACTTGATTTGTATGACTTAGTGCAATGAAATAGTGCAATCATTTGGCTAAGTGTAAAAGAGTTTCGAGCAACCAACTTGATTTAGTATTAAAAAGTAATGAAAATTTAACTTTATCTTATGGTCAAAAGTTTAGCACAAAGTTATGTACTTTTTTGTTTAATTGTACAGTACTAATAACTGTCAGATAAATTTTAGTTACATAAATCTCGTGTAATGGATTTTGATATCAGTATGGGTATGAAATTATACTTAAAATTGAAAATATTTTATCTTCAGATATAAAATATTAGTACAATGGAAATATTAACCTGACATATTTGGGAAGGATATTAGAATAATCCAGAACCTATACTGGCAGAAAACCAGTAGATAGAAAATGAATTCAGTAAATATACAAAAATAGAAAGGAGTGTAAGTGATGTAATGGAAAAACCTGTCACCCTTATGAGCACTATAAGTAGTAACTACCTATAAGTATCTGTAATTCAACGGACTACAGAGAGTAGCTGGATCTGTTACCAGAGTAATCAGTATCAGATTTTAGCTGTTGTCGAACTCTCTGCCTTCGGGTAGAGAGGACCCCGAACCCGTTTATGCGGGGTTTATGGGGAATTTTTGGCTGAGCCTACGGGCTCGGATCGCCCCACATTAAATTCGGCCTTGTGCCACATTCTACCCCGTGGGGAGGTTGGTAAATATTTCTAGCTGGGATCTGTTGAGTACGACTCAGACTTACGCGAGAACTACAGAACTTACAGTAGTAGCACTCACTACTGGATTGACTTGCGACGACCATGTGCATAAGTGTTACCTTTATTCTTATTGTACTTGTTTTTACAATAAACCTGATCGAAGGACACGGCACATAGAAAATGGGACATTCATTGTGGATCGAAGTTACTACAATAATAATGATTTACTTCCACTTCGTTTTACTATGATCATTATTTTATCCACCGTGTTTGTCAAGTATATATTCCTATTAGCACGGAATATAACAGTAAGACAATGAGATATCTTCTTACCGGACATTCTGGAATATCTGGAAACTATTTTAACAGAGGACGGAAAGTGCGACAATGAAATCCGAAGGTGTATTTTAAGAACGAAAAAATCGCTCCCTGAAGGTATGAAAATTATTAAGAAACAGAAATATTCCGTTAGAAACAAAGAAAAAAAATACTGAACTGTTACGTAATATCAGTCCTGCTGCTCTATGGCAGTGAATGCTGGGCAATATTTTCAGAAATGAGGAAGAGACTTGAAGCGAGAGAAATGTGGTTCTACAAAAGTATGCTGAGAAGTCTATGAACCAAACATGTGAGCACCGAGTTTTAGTGAAAATGGAAAGAAAAAGGGTAATTATATTTAACACCAGGAAGAGATAGTTGAAATTTCTAGGTCACATAATGAGAAAAGAGAGTTTGGAAAATTTGATACTCACAGGACGAATTCAAGGCAAGAGGGGTAGAGGAAAGCAACGCATAAACCTACTTAGCTCGAATAAATGGATGGCTAAAAAGGTTTAGGAGAAATAACAAAAAAACAAAATTTATTAAGAGTTAAAGGACAGGACATTGTGGAGAACCATGATCGAAGGGACACGGCACATAGAAAATGGGGCATTCATTGTGGATCGAAGTTACTACAATAATAATGATTTACTTCCACTTCGTTTTACTATGATCAAATAATTCTGCTTGTTCCTTAGTCAATAATGGAGTATTCCGTTTTGATCACGGGGAAAGACGGATAAGACATTTCAGAAACACCGTTCGATTTCAGAGAGAGAGAGAGAGAGAGAGAGAGAGAGAGAGAGAGAGAGAGAGATAGAGAGAGAGAGAGAGTGTGAGAGAGAGAGGCGGAAGGAAGATAGAGGAGGCGATAACGCTCAAGTGTGTTTCACGTATGATTCAGTGAAATGTAAAAAATTGTCAATCCTAAATATGTTCATTTATACCCTCTTGCTTACTGACCTGTTTTTTTTTTATATACTTATGATTGTTATTTAGATATCTGGTTAAAATTGTTAAGCTCAAATGTTTTGACGGAGAATAGGGGAATTTCCATGAGCATCTTGTAGTCATAAAATTCAAATAGAACTGTAAAATTTCTACGGTTACTACTATTTAATTTAATTCCATGATGAGTTTAATTTACCCATCGGTAAAGCTTCTCTAATAAACTTATCATTACTTAATGTTGTTGGGACTCTTATATTTAAAAGAGAGAAAATTTTGAGGTCAGGAATCTAACAAGATTTGGGCAATACTTACTTTTCATTAATGACTTCCTTGAGTGCAAATTATGTTGAGGCTGTCTTGTTTCCTGGAAGTGACGTCATCACAAAACTCCCGACACATTTTCTGTTAACTTTTAAACTGTAGTTTATCATCTTGACACAGATTTTTTTTACCAATTCGGCTGGAATAGGTTGTTATTTTAGCAGACATGACGATCTAGTTACATATAGATAAATATATAAATAAAATGTGTCATTAGAACTTTTATTCCTATCCAGAAAAAAACATCTCTTGAATGAAAATAAAACATCATAGGAACGAATTGTCATTTGCTAAGGTTTTAGCAATCGGGCATACTTTTCATTTTTGGTTTCTTTTAAAGGATAGAACCTTTATTTTAAATTTGTCTGTTCAGTTGTGTTGTGTAAATAACAGTTATTTAATGGTGTATTTTTTTTTTGCAATAGTGTATGCCATTATTAGAAATAATGTTTAATAAAAAAAAAATATTTAGAGATTGTTTGCACCTGATATCGTAACAGATATTGTTGACGGCCTTTTTATACTCTATTATTTTAGAAAAACTACGTTCTCCCCTTTATGACCAGTTTCTTCACAATGGTAAGTCACGTCTAGGAATTTTTCGCACATTTTCCTTATTGTTCATATTCACTCTCACATAATAAATTTGAAAAGAAAGTAGAACAGGAACTGAAGAAAAAATAATTTTCATAAAACTACCAAATTATGTCTAGTCAGATGGCATTTAAAATAATGCTTGTAAAATTTTTAACTTTAAAATATTGCAAATACATTTAAATTTTCATTACACATTCGAAGTTCTACTTAAAAAAAAGGATCTGAATCCTAATCTTGGAATTTATATATTCATATTACATGTATTTACATTTTACTTATTTTCGTAATAACATGGATGGCGTCCATGCTTCGGTCTTACAGTGTTATGTATTTTTTTGAATTTTTATTAAGAAACTGTCATTAATTATTATCAAGTTTTGGCGAGGTTTTATCGCAACAATTCAGACCGTCATTCTACAGCCGTTAGTAAGCATTAGAAGCTGGAATGAAACAATACACTTGAGTCGGGTAGAAACTCGTGTCTCTTTTGCCCCTGGAAGCCTTATTTCCGATTCCTGCTGTTTGTTAGCGGTCGTAGAATGGCGGCCTGAGTTGCTGCGAATGAAAGGCAACAAAAATGAAGATGAAAGAAATACTAGCAAACAATAATGTCTGGCAGTTCTTCATCTGAGAAATATAATATTGCTATTAATAATAATAAAAGTATAAGAAATAATAACATCAAATATGACATTAAGCAGTGAGGAAAATAATTCAAATCTTCTGCAGCCTATTGAATATTTTGTAGCTTAAGCAGGCTGGCAGGTACGGGAGATAATAATAATAAAAAGGACTGAGTTTGAGATTCACAACGAGCTTACTCTTAATTTCTAGTCTGTATTGTTTACGAATGACGTTTGAATGACGGTCTGAATCGTAACTCGGAAAAGAAAAAAATTAAAGGAAGCTAACGTTAAAGAAATTAATAATGCGATATGAATTTTAAAGATTGTTTTGAATACGATTTTCTACAGTTAAAAAAATAGGTAAAACTCTTAATTTTAATAACAAATGGTACTTTTAGCTTCGATTTATTTTATTAATCTCATACTTATGATCTAGTAATTATATATTTGTAAAACCAATGAATAGATTAGTTGTTTAATGATTTCACCTATGAAAAAAAAATCATGGTCGATTGTTATATTGTCTTTCTTTTTTCTTTCTTTCTGGCTTTTTTGTATTGTATCGCGTTTATATAATTTACCTAAAAGTAATTTCTTTAACTATCTTTCATTTTATTTATGTTTTGTTGTCGTGTTTTTTTCTGCATGGAAACGTTTTTACAACACAGTATTTTATTTCAATGCATTACTTGAAAATACAATCCTATTTCAGAGCAATTTCTGCAAAAGAAATTATTTCTAAATAATTATTAAGACTTTATTGTACCAGTGATAGAACTTGACTTCATAATGACATTTAAGCTTTCGATTAAATTACAACAATGCATCCACTGACATAATATTATAATATGACATAATATATAATATGAGATATGTAGATTAATAATAATAATTTCATGATATGAAATAATATAATGATCACTTAGAATAATAATGCACTCTATTGCGAACTGTGTAATGTGGATTTGAACTCACAATTTAATGGCATCGGAAAAATCCAGAAACTTTCTAAGAGAATAGAAGAAATAGAATTGTATAAAGTTTTGAAATTTAAAGCGATCTTCCAATCAAGGATTGGAATCCAGATTTTGTTATCGTAAACAATAAAAACGATGTGTCAGATTTTATATGTCCTAGCAGATCGCAGATTGGAATCGAAAGAATGTGAACAACTGGGGAAGATAGGTGAGCCTTTCGAGAAAAAAAATGGTGTCCATCATCATGGTATATATTTCAACAATGTCAAACGACCATATGAAGGAATTGGAACGATTGGATATTGAAACTATTCAAAAGACAGCATTTCCAGAAAGCTGGGGAGAGCGTTGGACTAACTTAAAAGATTTGCTCTCATTTCATTACTACCAGAGTGAAAGATGTTTAGCATTAATAATAAAATTTGGAAGAAAGAACCTTGCAAATACATTGGAACAAGTAAGAATCCATGAGAGAATTGAAATAATGAGAATGGCATTATTAATAAAATCAAGTGCAATACTAAGAAGAGTGGTGAAGTATTAAATAAACTAGCTATCACTTGATTGCAAATGCCACTAGATTCTACCGATGTGAAAAGTAAACATCTACAATATAAAGATTATAATAGCCATTTCATAAAATAAACTCTCTTTTATTCTCGCAGAATATCTTTTATGACGGGAACAGCTGTCAAAATCATGTTCTCTAGAGTTCATTCTCACAAAAGATTATAATCAAAGACATAATAATATGAGTTTCGAAACATCGACAGTTAAAACATTTCATACACATGTTTGGTAACTATTATTACATACATAAGCACGTAAGTTTTATTATGTCTACAAGAAATTCCATATTCTTCACCAAATTTATAGAAGCAAATAAACTTTACAAGCAATTATGAGCTTACATTAAACGTTACAAACAATTATGCTCTCTCGAAAATAGAGTATCAATTAAAATTTATTACTTCTATATATAATTATATTTCAGCAAATTATAGAAGCAAGTGCACAAGCACAACTCTAGTAACCCATTACTGTCGTTAGTGCACCAAATATAGATGTGTCTAGTGCAAGATAGCCTGACAGAGCCCATCCCTGTTTAGGTTGGTTTTGAAGCTGACTTTCTTCTAAGCTGGTTACCAACCAAGGCTTAGATAAAACAGTCTGCCCTGCTATTTAATTCATAGATAGTGGTGGGTGAAATAGATAGATTCATACCTTTTCCAAGGTTATTAGTGTGAAAGTAAACAACCTCAGCCAGAATTTGATCTGGGGAAACCAAACCCACTTTTTGCACCGATATCCGCTACTCTACCCGCACGTTCCACAGAGGCAAGTAAACTTTAGTTAAATACCATATATGAAAACGCTTTTCCGCGTAAACAAATAAGCTTCATCGTATAATCGAATTAGCTTAATCAGATACAATATATACATATGAAAGCGTCACTACATAAGCAAATAAGCTTGATAAATTTGCTATTATAATTGTTATCAATTTATCATTATAATGATTAATTATTTTATGCTATAATAAAGAATACCAGTTCTTTTCTTCTATTATCTCTCGTCTTATCTACTGTCTTCTCTATCTGTTAAACCTTACAAGAATCTAGGCACCTAGTTGAACTTGATCTCACTTCACAAGCGAAAGGCCTGGTGCGATTAACTTCTGTGACTATCACTTTACGGTAGGAACAGCTTTTGTAAAACTCTTCCCAAAAATTGAATGGCGCCTGTCAGTCATGGTAGACACTGGCTGGCCACTCAATACTGAGAGTGTAGATTGTCATATCTAATGTATATTTTCTTGTCTAATCTGTTGTATGACATCACAACAAGTGATAAGTGATACATTTTTTTAACTTTCCCTGACATCCGACATACACGTCTTGTATGTGTATTTCCTTCGAAGGATGCATTTTTCTATAAAGTTTTTCTTCTAAATAACATTAAAAGCCTTCTCATTTAAAAAAAAAAAATTGCCTTGTTTTGTACATCTATTTAATGACGATAACATTCAAAGGCATCACATTGTCGTATAGAAAATCAAAACAAAAATATGTTAATTGATTTGATCCAAGCTTACAGCACCTGGTATTCCCAAGCGGTCACCATTCTAGGTAATGACGTTGCTCAACTTCGGTGATCGTACGGGAACCGGTGTTTCAACGTGATATGGCCGTAAGCACTGAAACCAAGAAGACGCAAACCTGCTGCTGAAGATATCCCTTAGTATCATTTTAAAATGATCAATATTTTTAATTTTACTTAGCAAAAATAAGCCATCTTATATGGCGCATGAGGTGTAGCGATTTTCAGAGTTGGACGAATATTAATTTAAAAGTAAATGTAACAACATCGGACAGAGTTTGTATATGGCATACATATCCTACTTTCCATGCCGATATCCTATATTCTGCGTGCGCATATCATAGAATCAATGATGCTTTATTAAATATGATATATATATGAAAAAGCTTCCCTCTATAAATAAATAAACTTTATCACATAACTAGCCGCATGGCCCGGCGTTGCCCGTGCTTGATTCAAAAATCGTACAACACATACAGCAATCGCTATCACTTGACTTAAAATATTTTTGCCCTTTCTTGCCTTTAAAGGAGTGCCCTTTGCCGTTCTTATGTTGCTACATGCCTTACTTCTTGCCTATCTCACACTGCAAATTTTTTCTAAGCTCCATACTAAACATTAAATCAGTTACGAAAAAGAACTAAACAAAATGAACACAAAACGATCAGCTTAAAAAAGAGGACTCGTAACTGGAAAAACCGAAAGAGAAAAAGAATGTTAACAACAAATACTTTTTCACACCCAACCCAGTTCTGCGGAATCAGAATCAACGTTGAGTTTAAGCAAGCGAATGAGCCAATTGGAGTAAAGTGCCATGCAGATTTAAATTTTTCCCACTTGTGACGAATGCAGCTATTCATTTTTTCTTTGCATGCTAGCATGCTAGTTAACATTCGTGTCAGTCAGCTGTTGGCTCTCACGCTGGCCAATAGAATCTTCCTGCCTATTCGTGGCAGCCAGATATTGGCTCTCACTCTGGCCAGTACAAAATGGCCGCAAACTACATGAAAACTGCCGTAGAAGCATGAAAGAATCGATTATTTCCACTTTCGATGGGAGTTGGGAAATGCGGCGTCGGTCTTGGCCTTCCCGCTAACTTGGAGCATGTGCATGTAAATTTTGGTGCAAATCCGTCGAAAATTGCGGCCGTGCATTGGTTACACACACACACACACACACACACACACACACACACACACACACACACACACACACACACACATCCTGCCTTTTATAGATCACATAATCAAGTTAACATTTTTAAAATCATTTCGGCCCAAGGAAAGGAACAAAACCACTAAGACGCAGGGGTTACTGACTGTAAAAGAATAGAAGAAAACGAAAAGCATTATTAAGGATTGAAAACAATAAAAGAACAGAAATTAAGAAGACAGAAGATAACGACTGAAATTCTATTTAAATTTTTGAAGATCAACATTGACTGGAAAGCAACAGCCGGAAGATAGTTTGATAAAAATACGAGAATAGTATTCCGGTTACATCTGGCCATTTCATCAGTAAAATGATGACACCTCGCAGTCAATTTAGTACTGCGTTTAAATTCAGATTCTAGGTACCATAGAGGAGAGCGCCTCAGAATAATTACCATGGAAGTATTTATAGAAAAAGCAAGCGGAAGTGACGTTATAGCGGTGGGAAACTAAATGAAGCCGAGATGTTAGGTCAGGACCAATATTTTATCAGGGATCACTAAATATATAGCAGAAGCAGCAGACTAGATGGAGCAGCAATATTCTAAGAATGGTAGGGTTGTCAGATACGGTATATAAGCATGATGCCACTGAAAACTAAGCAAATAAATTGTAGCTTAATATTCATTAATTAAGCATTAAGCGCTAAATAATTGGTCAACGTTTTGCCAACCACAGTTTTTTCTAATTGTGACTGTAATTGACATATTGGTATCAGTGAATGCAAGGAAGGTGCAATTTTTGGCTTAACAGATACTTTCCGATGTTCCTTGCTTCCACTACTGGTGCAATAACTTATTAAAATATATCTTCTTGTGATGCAATTATATTTTCATGATTTCCCAAATAAAAATGTAAATTAATATTTAAATATTCATGTCGTGGAATATCTTACTGATATTCAAAACTAAAAGATGAATTTACAATGTTATAATCTTTCAAAAGAATGTCTTCTTGTAGATCATTATATCATATTTTATCATTTTTTCTCAATTAAAAAAAATAAGTGACATTTACAGCGTAATTTCGTATAGTCTGAGGTCATGTACTTTAAAATATATTGTTTGTGAGAATTGTGTTGCCCTAGTTTCGTAAAAGAAAATGTCATGTGATAGCATTATATGATAAAAATATAAATTCCTTTCAGAAAATAAAATCAAATAAAAGATAATCATCTTGTTTTAGTGGAATATTTGCACTTTGATAGATGTTATATACCGTATTTATGAACACTAATGGGTATGTCCAAATCCTTATAAATACGTTGTTCCCTATTGTAAGTGGGGTAATATGCTGTCTAAGTAGTTCACCACTAGCGACGGTTTACCTACGGCACTGGCGAGTATTGTATTTTGTTGATGGTATAAAGATTACCATTTCATTTCCAACCCCTGTCTTGGTTATTCCTCATTCAGTAACCTTTCCTAGGTTACAACAGTAGGTATCTGCGTTTAAATAGAGGCAAAATTTTAGTGCGTTGTCACGGGAGCCACCTTCCATAGATGCACCTCCCGGAAGCTAACATTTAAGTTATTTGTATATAAACACATTGAACTTTTTCTAAAGGAAACAAATATTCACATAATATGCTCAAATGCACAGAACTATCGAAGTAAGGCAACTAACGCGAGTAAAGTTTATATCATATAGAACAAAACCATAGATACGGGCATATTATAATCGAACTCTGGGTGTGAGTGCAGTGTTCTGTAAGCAAAGTTCTACAGTATGGGATTACATATACTCGTATGATCTATCTATCTATCTATCTATCTATCTATCTATCTATCTATCTATCTATCTCTCTCTCTCTCTATATATATATATATATATAGTCTATTCATATCTATTTATCTAGTCTGTTCATCGCTCACGCTTTATTGATTCTGTTCCTATATCTATCTCATCTTTTCATATCTATCTAGTCTGTTCATCTCTATCCTTGACTCTCTCTCTCTCTCTCTCTCTATATATATATATATATATATATATATATATATAGAACAATATAGTTTGTTCATATCTATCTAGTCTCTTATTCTCTCGCTTTTCTCTTTATAATCTGTTCATATCTATTCTGTATGTATGTATGTATATATATATATATATATATATATATATATATATATATATATATATATATATATATATATATATATATATATATATATATATATATATATATATATATATATATATATATATATATATATATATATATATATATATATATGTGTGTAGGTGTGTGTGGGTGTCTGTGTGTGTGTAGTTGAAAGGTGTGCTATCTTTCTGGGTAAAAGGCTCAATATAAGGGATAGAGCATATGTAAATATGGACACTGAAGTCAACTCTGAGGGGTGACAATCTGTTCCATATCTGAAGATTGTGCTCAGTATATATATATATATATATATATATATATATATATATATAATAAAGAGAGAGGTGCCGCTTAACTTTTTTGGTTGTAATGTGGATTTATTTAGAAAAAATATTATGCTTTGTTATTTTTTCTAAATAAATCCACATTACAACCAAAAAACGTTAGCGGACCTCTCTTCTCTTCTTTTTTAATATACTTTTTTCTCGTTGGAACCACTACAACATATTTCTTTTTTATATATATATATATATATAGTCTATTTATCTCTATCTTTGTCTGTTTTATTCATTATCTTTCTCGTCATTTTCATATCTATCTACTTGTTTCTCTACTTATCTTTCAACATATATATATATATATATATATATATATATATATATATATATATATATATATATAGAGAGAGAGAGAGAGAGATATGTATGTATAGTTTGTTTATATATATCTAGTCTCTTTCTCCCTCGCTCTCTCTCTCTCTGTCTATCTATCCTTACTTGAACAGAATGTATATTTGTTTATGTGTGCAAATACGAGCATGTAAAATCTATTCTGTTTTCTTAACGTAAATTCTCCTTTAATATCTTAACTATTTCAAAGCTTTACCGTTACACTGCCAGATGATCAGCTTTTTCATTAAGGTGTCTTTATTGCATTTCTTGCTTTCTTTTTTCTCCACTGGTTTTCTTCGCCAATTGAACTTCGACAGAAAATTCAGTTTGCGACTCTGAAGCTTCCCAAGTGAAAAGAAGAAATTCCAATGAAATCAACGGAAATTGATCCCTGATTGGATTTTTGACAAAATTCACTGAATTGTGATGTTTCAATTATACGACAAATTGCAGAACGTTGCCGATTACAAATCACAGAATTTGATGCGAAAAACATAACGAACTGTTTACTTTCAAATATTCAAAAACGTCTTTTTGATAATTTTGAAGGTTTGTTTCTGAGTTAAAAGACTGATTGTGATTGGCTTATTTATTTCTTTTTTTTTGTCCTATACAGAGTAAATTATTCTTGGAATTTCCTTTTTGAGAGCTAGCGAGAGAGAGAAAAAAACTTTTCTTTGTGAAATGGCGAGAAGTGTATTTCCAAGTAAATCAAAATTGATTTTCTTCAATCTATCAAATGACTGTTAAAACGACGACTAAAAGCCTGTCGCTATCTATCTATCTATCTATCTATCTATCTATCTTATATATATATGATGCAAAGTTTATCTATCTCTATTTTTGCTTGTAAAATTTCTACATCACCAGAAGAATCTATAATATAGAGGTATGTGAATTTTTCACTTCAGCTTAGTAAATTCTTCAGATGACGTAGTGGAAATAAAATGTTCTGTTATTGTTAACTTGTCAAAAAAAAAAAAAAACGATATAATTTACTTATGTCTTTTAAGCTTACGGATGATTTTAGCCGTCAGTAAACAGAAATTAAATCTATCTATCTATCTATCTATCTATCTATGGATATATATATATATATATATATATATATATATATATATATATATATATAAAGACATTTTATGTTTATGCATTCTTTTTATAGATACAATTATTTAAGTAAATGCTCTGTTTATAATAAACAGTATTAAACAACATTTACCGGCCTGAAACAAAGCATTTACTTAAATATTTGTATCTATAAAAAGGATGTAAACATAAAATGTCCTAAAATAATTGTTGGACTTTGTCCATTTCATAATATATATATATATATATATATATGAATAAAAATGACAATAGGAAAATAATATTGTCTTCTCTACCGATTAAATCGGAGAAATTTTTATATATATATATATATATATATATATATATATATATAGAGAGAGAGAGAGAGAGAGAGCAACAGTTACCATCGCAGGGCAAACACGCATCCTATACCTTTGGATGACAGCCATTTTAGGAGAAGGAAAACTCTGAATGAGAAACTGCGGAAGGATGTTTCTCGACTTCGTTGCATACTGTGCATCAGATTCCTGTTATCTTTCTGTAGCTGGTTCTATACATGCTTTCACCAATATAATGCAATCATCTATGTGGGTAGCCTAGTGGTTTAGTGCTAAAATGAACTGCTACGCTGTTATTAATAAAATATTTGTATATTTTTATATGTTCTTAATTTAATTTAATTTTTTTTTTTATCTGTTCATGTTTTTTTTCTATTCGTTTATTTTTCCCACATGAAAATAGACTACTCCATTATCTTGTCAGTTGCCTATAAATAAGGAAATGTTTGATCAGATTGTTTTGCGTCTGACGATTGCTATATGCATGACACTTCGAGTAGCATTAAGGAGCAATTATATAATTATTCTTATTATTCTGGATTTTACAGCATTTCACCATTCCTGGTAGATCTACTATATTTAGCTATCCCCCCACGTGGGGTTGAATGTGGCACAAGGCCGAGTTTATTGTGGGTCATCCGAGCCCGTAGGCCCGGCCAAAAATATAGCCTTCGAACCCGCCTAGGCGGGTTCGAGAACTGTCAACCTCCCCGAACGAAACCTTGCCCTACGGCAAACCTTCTTCCGGGTTCCTCCCTGCTAATGCAGAGAGTAGATCTGGTAGATCTACTGTCAAAGTGTGGAATATCTACTTACAAAAGTGATGGAAGAAAAATAGGAAAAGACTCTAAATGAATTCGGCTAGATAAAAAAAATCTAAAATTCCCAGCATCTCTCGTCCGTGCACATGTGTAGTCGTACCTTCTTTTTATGTGTCGTGTCCTTTCACAACGTATGCGATCATGGCTCTACACTTCCCCTATCCTTTTAGCTTTCAATAAGTTTTGTGCCTCTGCTACCTACCCCAGACCACGTTCTGCCATTCACTTGCTTAAGCCCGGCAGGTATGTCATGCGTTGCTTTCCCTTGTCTCTTTTCCCCTCTATTCGACCTGTGGATATCAGATTCTCCAGGCTCTTCTTTCTCATTACGTGTCCCAGAAATTTCATCTGCCTCGTCCTTATGTTAAGTATAAGCTTTCTCCTTGTTTCCATCCTCTACAAGTCCTCATCGTCGCTCACACGCTTGTTCCATGATATCCTTAGCATCCTTCTGTAGAAGTACATCTTCGTTGCCCCGAGTCTCTTCTTCATCTTTGAGAAGACCGTCCAACATTCGCTGCCGTATAGGAGGACAGATGCCACGTAGCAGCTCAGTACTCTTTTCTTTGTCACCAAAGAAATCCTTCTATCCCGCAGTACTCTCTCCAGCTCTTAGAATGCATCTTTGGCCATCCCAATCCGTCGCACCTATTGTCCTCCATCAAACCACTTCCCAGATATTTATACTTCCACATATGCGTGATTTTAGAGTACCCAACTTGCAAATCGCATTCCAGGCTCATTTTTTTTACTGATGACCATGCATTCTGTCTTCTTGGAGTTTATGGTTAGTTCCTTCTCGCCCCCCCTCTACATTCTGTAGGAGGTTTTGTAGTTTCTTTTCCGTGTCTGCTATACCAACATAACGAAACGCATCATGAGTAAACGTTTCCCACTTTGTCATTGTTACGGGACCTTACCCATAATAACATAATGGACTATTCCATACGTAATAAATACTGCGCCTCAAGAGGAAGCAGGGAGTTCAGTCCGAAGTCGGGCGACCGGCTGACCGGCTGATCGGTTGAACTCTCTGCTTTCGGGCGGGGAGGAACCCGAACGGGGCTACGCCGAAGGGCGGAGTCGCTTCCGGGGAGGTAAACCGACCCTGAACCCGTTTATACGGGTTCAAAGGGCATATTTTTGGCCGAGCCCACGGGCTCGGAGACCCCACATTAAACCGGCCTTGTGCCACATGATGCCCTCGTGGAGGGGGGGTGACTAAATACCGTTCAGTCTGAAGTCGGACGACCGGCTGATCGGTTGAACTCTCTGCCTTCGGGCGGGGAGGAACCCGAACGAGGCTACGCTGAAGGGCGGAGTCTCTTTCGGGGAGGTAAACCGACCCTGAACCCGTTTATACATGTTCAAAGGGCATATTTTTGGCCGAGCCCACGGGCTCGGATCCGATGTTAAACCGGCCACGCGATGCCCTCATGGGGAGGGGTGACTAAATACTGTTCCGTCTGAAGTCTGGAGTTCAGTCTGAAGTCTGGAGTGAGGTCCATCAGAAGTCCGTCAGTCAGAGCGAGCGAGTCAGTCAGTCAAGTCAGAGGCAGTCCGAAACAGAGTCGCGTTCAGACAATTAATACTAAACCTGATTGTTCGTACTAACACTTTCTACCTCTCTGTATATATTCCTGTTTGTAATATATCTGTGTTATTCCATATCCACCTTCGGGTTCTTCTTTATTGGTTCTACTCGTGGACTATCACCCGGGGTACAAGGAACCGGACCTTAACAGTCATACAATTTCCCCAATACTTTTCTTGATGTGTCTGTCTTTTTAAAATTTTATTGTATCTTTTACACATTTGGGTCAAAATTGTGGATAAACACAGCAAAGTACATTTTTTCTAGTACGTTCGACCGTTTTGGTTATTATCATAAAATAAATGTTTTAAATATCATAAATCAAGCTTTTTATATATATATATATATATATATATATATATATATATATATATATATATATATATTAAATGGATTTTGGCGGTATCGAAAATTTTCAAAAAATGTATATACGTAAATATACATTTATAGGTGCATAATCCTCCTTATGTGTCCCAGATACTCACGGGTCGAATAGAGGTAAAGAGAGAAAAGACAAAGCAGCGCGTGACATTGCTGGCGTGGTCTGGGGAAAGTAGCAGAGGGAAGGAATTTGTTGAGAGCTACAAGGGATAGAAGGAGGTGGAGAGCCATGATCGCCTACGACCTGAAAGAACATGGCACATAAAAACAAAAGTGGGCGAGTAAGACTACCCCAGAACCCATAACTTTCAAACGAACATTTCAGGGATGATTTCTGTGTCCTTGATGATGTCTTAAATGGGACCCAAGAACAGCAAGTGACCTAGAAGTTATTCCACGTTGCGCACAAGCGAGTTTTCTGACTGAAGTCTGATTATCTGGAAGTTTAGTTTTGTGCTAACTAGCAAGTGCACTGACTGACCTGAAAAGTCTTGCTGGGCAACATATTGGTAAATCGGGATGTTTCTGTGTCCACGTTCGTATCTGAGGAGGCCTACCCTCGACAAGCAGGCACGGCCACACTCATCACACGATACATACATATATGCTTGCATATCTATCTATCTATCTATCTATCTGGTTGGCCAAAAAGTACGTTCGGTCTTTGTCGAGACCAAAGTTCAAGTACTCTAATAAGTAGCTAACTTCAGACTGTCCATTGCGCATGCGCATTCCTTAGATACTTTGTTCGACGAGACAGTTTTTTTTTGTGGGGATCACCCTGAAAATGGAGACCCAAAACGAACATTATCGATACCTCATACTTTTTTTTATTAAAAAAAAGGCAAGAAAACGGCAGAAATCTGTGTTAAGATATGCGTTGTTTGCGAAGAGGAAACTCTTAAGGAACGTGTGTGCCAGAAGTTGTTTTCAAGATTTCGATCGAGAAATCTTTCGGTTCAAGATGCAGCTCGCTTTGGCCGTTCACCTGAGAATAATAGCAGCAAAATGAAGGAGTTTGTCTACGCCAACCTCAGTGATCACAGATGTTCTCCAAATATCTAAATCGAGTGCTGAAAACCATCTGCATCAATTTGGTTACATCAGCAGGCCTGATGTTTACGACCGACATCAGTTTAAATAGACTAACCTCGCCCAAATAGATTTCCATCTGGGACTTGTCGCAGAAACGTGTAGAAAAAGATCCTTTCTTCAAGAGAATGTAGAGAGGGGGCGAAAATGTATCGTCTATAACAATGTTAAGCGCAAATGGGTGAAGCGCAGCAAACTATCATATCTAACTTTCGAATGAGGACTTCACCCGATCCATTAGAAGAAGCTAGTTAGAAGCTTGCTATTCATATGGACATCACGACAATGTCAGACTGCGCTCTTCTTTGCAGACGCAGCACAACTTACTAGGGCTTGGCTGGGAAGTTTTGCCACACACTCCATATCTGAGCAACTGTGCGCCTTCAGATATCCACCTGTGTCGCTATCTCCAAAATGAATTGAATGACGGACCTTCAACTCTGAATCGGATGTAAAAATAGTTTTTCGTCAATAAAGACAGAGAATGTTTTGAGCGGGGAATAATGGATCTGTCTACAAGATGGCAGAAGATATTGGAATGAAACGGTAATTATATCACTGATTGAATAAATGGCATTGTGTTTAAAACCTGTGTCTTATTTTCGCTTAAAAACCGAACGTACTTTTTGGGCAACTCGCTATCTACCAGGAATGATGAAAAGTTTTCGATTTTATACACTTTCTGAAATCTGACTACGTTTATGATATTTTTTTTTTTATTTTGGAAGGGCTTCTTAATCGATCTGAGAACTATTCAAGACTCCCCCATATCTATTTATCATAACATTTTCGTAGCTATCAACTCCTATGTCCATATGTTTGATTGTATGAATTTTTATGTGTTGATCTATATTTCTGCTTATTTGAGTGTGTGCGCACGCACACACAGACACAAAATACTTTTTTTGTAATCATAAAGCATTCAGATTGCCTGAATCTCTTGAATGTATTTATTTCTTTTTACCTTGTTGATGGGATTTCAATGAACAAATGAATCGGAACGTCAGGATTCATCCAAGCAGTCAGTCAATGAATATTTTAGGTTACATAATAGTATGAAAAAAGACCACAAAAGACATGCCAAGATCGTGCCAGCATTTTAAAGCCATCTTTTACGTCTAATCAAATGTTAACATAATTCGCTGAAACGTTAACCAGAAATTTAGCATCAATATGGCAAATATTGAATAGGAGAGAGATATTCAAATCGAAATTATTGAATAAAATTTTAATCAATATTTTCGTTGGTCATTTAAAAGTAAAATTAAGGAAAGAATGGGCATAACTTAAAATTATATTTACTTGTATTTTAGTGACTTAGTTTGATTTTAAACTTGCGGAATGAAAGTTTTTAAAACTCAAAAATCAGATATATTATTCACATTATTGAAAGGTTAGATTTAAATGAGAATTATACTATCTTTAAATGAATTACTGGTTGAAACCACAAATGATTATAAATTCAAGATTGTTTTAAAGTGGAATAAATTCTGAGTGAAAAAAAAATAGTAGTAGTAGTTGCGTAACCTTTTCCTTTTGTGAATGTTAATAAAGTGGGTTAAGATAATGGCGAAAACAATGAAATGGTGTTTTGTTGGGAGTCAGAAGCCCTTTCAATAATTCCCATCAGTATGACGATATGCTCTGGGTACTGATGCTGTTTAAATATGGAGAGATTTGTTTGTTGTTAAATAGCTTGGATTAGAGGACACGGTGACAGTTAAGTGTTGCGAAGTGTAAGCGAAAAATAAGAAAACGGATGGGAAAATAGAAAAAATATAAGAAAGGAAGGGTGATGAAAAGAAGAATGAAATGAAAAGCAAAAAAGAAAAGATGGGAAAGGAAAAGAAGTTGAGGATGAAAAAAATATCAAAAAGAAGAAAAGAAAGAGGACAATTAGAAAGAGAAAAGAAGGAAAATAAAAACAAAAATTGAATAGAAGATAATGGAAGGAATAAAAAAAAATAGAAGAATAAAAATGGAAAAAAGAAATAGAAACGAACAAATGGAATCTCAGATGAGAAAAATAGAGAAGAAATATGTTATATTTAAATAGAAAAATGAATGAAAGTGAAAAGAAAGAAACAGTTTACTTGAAAGAAAGAAAAAAGAGAAAGAAAAAGAAAGAAATGAACTATATAGAAAAAGAAAGAAAAGAAAAGAAAGAAAAAGAAAAAAACATATATGAAAAGAAATAAAATTTCAGAAGGAAAGAAAGAAAGAAAGAAAGGAAAATAAAGAAAAAGAACATATATGAAAAGAAATAAAATTTCAAAAGGAAAGAAAGAAAAGAAAGAAAGGAAAATAAAGAAAAAGAACATATATGAAAAGAAATAAAATTTCAGAAGGAAAGAAAGAAAGAAAGAAAGGAAAATAAAGAAAAAGAACATATATGAAAAGAAATAAAATTTCAAAAGGAAAGAAAGAAAGAAAGAAAGGAAAATAAAGAAAAAGAACATATATGAAAAGAAATAAAATTTCAGAAGGAAAGAAAGAAAGAAAGAAAGGAAAATAAAGAAAAAGAACATATATGAAAAGAAATAAAATTTCAGAAGGAAAGAAAGAAAGAAAGAAAGGAAAATAAAGAAAAAGAACATATATGAAAAGAAATAAAATTTCAAAAGGAAAGAAAGAAAGAAAATAAAATAAAGAAAGAATGAAAATAAGAAACAAAAGATGCAAAACAAGAAAAAAGAATAATGATAAAGAAAGAATCAGGAAAGGCAACAGAGACAAAATTAGAATTAAAAGAATAAAAAAGAAAAAAAATTAAAGGAAAAAAAAAAACAAGATGTGAAGTAAAAAGAAACAAGAGAATGAATGAAAATAGAAAGAAATGAATAAAAATAAACAAAAGAAAAAAAACGTAATAAACCAATGTAGAAATAGAAAAAGAAAAAAAAAAACAGAAGTGTACTGTCAGTTAATGGTGCGGGTCTTGACTGGGAATGTTGGATACAGTAGAGTTTCCAGTCTGTGTAGATAAGTGGTTTAAGGGGAATTTTATCTAAATAAACCTCTTCGCTAGTGTGTCTGTCAAATTTACATTGCTATAACGAACTGTAGGAGGAAGGCTTCATTAAGTTGCGTAGAAATTGTCTCTCGCTGCAGACCCCCGACCTCACATTGTCCAGGCCCTGCTTGAAGGAAAATTGTCAGGTTTCGTTTCATTGCTTGCTTTCTATTTCTCTCTTCGTTGCTTTTTACGCGCTAAAACGTAGTCGAAAGCACATGTGCGCAAACGGTGAACTGCGAACGCTGGCGAACGTACTCACACATAGCGGCGCACATAAAACAAAGAAAAAGGTCCATAAGATCACTCACACACACACACACACACACACACACACACACACACACACACACACACACACACACGGGAACAAACACCGTTAAAATCGTCACGTATATCAGCTACGTTGTACATATAAACGCAGCGCTGTATGCAAACAAGTCTCTTTACATTGTTTACATTAATGTAAGTATACTTTCATACATGAATGCACCAAGACAGATCTATCTATCTATCTATCTATCTATCTATCTATCTATCTATCTATCTATCTATCTTTTGACCATGAAAAAATTATTAACTTTCAACTGTCTCCTTGGAAGTTGTGATTTTGTTTATGTACACCGGCGAGCCAAAAGTCAAGATTATCAGTATGTAAAGGTAATGTTAGGTGGCGCCACCTTAATTTAACGTCGTGAAAATACTCAGACTAATATCAGTTGTGTTCTGATATCTAGGGAGTCAGTGTGAACAGTAGTTAGGATTCCTGTAGCAAGGCGATGTGAACTATCAGAGACAGTGGATGTGACATTCAATTTCTGAAATTGTAGCGAGTTTTAATATCACTCAATTTACGAGGCCACGTGTATTTCGGCATACCTGATGGAAGGAATTACTCACCTTGAACAGCGCAGTTGCAAACCATATATCCTTAATGGTTGTGACCAGAAGTATTTGGCTCGAATCGCCAGCAGTAACAGATATGCAAAACTGGCTTAAATCACATACATTGAAATGTAGAATATACCACACACATATCGAGTTGGTCAGTCCCGCATTCTTTAAATTCCATGCGATATGGGAGTAGAAGCGTCTCCAGAGTGGCCCTGTTAACATCACAAGGCTGGACACAGCATCTCACCTCGGCTCGTGGCATCGCTAACTGGGCCTTGGAGAACCGATAACGTGTGGATATCGTCCGATGTGTTAAGGACCTTTTGTTTTCAGCTGATGGTAGGATTCAGGTGTGGCGCAAAGCCTACGAGCGCATGGGCACCAGGTGACACCAAGTTAATGTGAAGGTTGTTGGTGGTGTAATAGTGTGTGGTGTTTTCACAGGACAGGGCTTGTGTCTTCAGGCGACGCTTAAAAACGTCATTGACTGGTGACCAGTTGTACTGTTTCCTGATCATTTGTACCAATTCATGGACACCTCGCCTCCTAAGACGATGTGCTATTTAAGCATGGCGGGTTGCTTAGAATTGGTGTGGAGAGAATTCTGAAAAGGTTCGACGAAGGGTGTGGTTACCACGTTTACCTGGCATAAGTGCTGCGTTATCAGGCTTAAGTTGCCTACAATTGATCGGAGGAATATTCTTGGAACGTCCGATGAATGAAAAATTTTGATGAATTGTATGGATACCACATTCACCTGGCATGGTGTTACAATATTTCTTCTGTAATTATATTACTGCTTCTGGGAGTAGTAAATATGGTCATTCATATTGGATACCTAGAATTGGTGCGAAGAGCATTCTGGGAATGTCCAACGAGTGGTGTGGTTTACCAAGTTTATTGTATGCGCACCGTATTGCCTAGATTTAGTCTGAGGAACATGATGGGAACTTACAACGTATGATGAGGCTACAACCATTCATCCTTTATGGGACGTGATTGTAGGGTCTATTCGTACAAAACATTCTGTACCTATCAAAGGACTGTGTACAGCTATGGAGAAAGCATGGATCATCATTTTTCCAGATTTCTTCTGACTACTTACAGAATCGATTCCACGTCGGGTTGCTGCATGTCGCCAGTTTATAGATTGTTCTCCACTATACAAGATAATTGTGCCTTTACTTTTGGTACGTGTATTAGCTTATCTTAAACATGTTTTATTAAACGGAATTGACAAAGGATGTCTATTAAGCTTTGTTTGAGAGTTTTTCCTTGTGTCGAGTAAGTCGTTTGATGCCTGTTCAAACTTGTATAAGTACTTTCTGAGATTATGCGTTATGTCCCGAGTACTTTTATCCATCTTTGGTTATTTTCGAGGAAGGACGATAGAAGCCGAGCAATAGCCGGTGTTGCGTTTATTTGCTTAATGGTCCGATGTTTGAAATGGACGTAGTTTCATATGCTGTGGGCGAGGAAGAGATTTTAGCGTCATTTGACTAAAATTACTTAACTAAGCGTATCTGGCTATGCATTATAAAACAGGAGGTGTCTCACAAGCTTACTGGGTATTTAACCATAAAAATAAAATTGCTTATCCTCAGACCTAGTTTTCACCATCTTAGCAATCTTACAAATTGTATTAATCACAAAGGACATCAGCAAAAGCTCATCCTGCAATCGGTATGTGGACGGGGTTTAAATTTTCTCGAACGTTTACTTAAGTCAGCACAAAATGAAATCGATGAATATTGATGGTTTAAATTTTAATCTATAAGCATCTATATGCATCTATTTGTCTCGGAGATTGGTAAATATCTGTTACTAAATTTTGATTCTGTAATTATTTGTCTAGTTCTGAGACTGATAAAATATTTTCGTTTATATTTGAGTTGGTATGCATTTACTTGGTTCGGAAGTAGGTAAATATTGCGATTTTTAAGACTATAAGCAGTTAATTGGTTCAGAGATAGCTAAATAAGGTCGTTTATAGTTGCTACTGAAAGTGTTTGGTTCGGGTATAAGTGAATATTGGTAGTTTATATTTGAGTCTATAAACATTTAATTGGCTTGGGGATAGGTTAACAATATTTAAATCATCAAGCGTTTGCTTCGTATTTGTCAACTTTTTGAAGGGTATCTTAACTCTCCACACATGATGCAGTCTGCGTATTCTTGGGTTTTACTGACAGGTTGTCCAGACGTATGGTCATGTGTCTTGCTATAAGCAAATGTCGATAAATATATGTACAAACTGCGACTGGTTACTGGCGTCTAAGTTACGCAAAAAATGAAAATAACACTGACATCTCATTGTAACAGATATATTTACCAAAATTACACAACAACATTTTGAAATACTAAAGAATAAATTTATTCAATAAAATCGCCATTGGCTTCAATCACGACCTCCAGACAACTTCGGAATCTCCTGCATCTCTCCTGGAAGGTCTTCTTGTTTAAGTTTGTGAAGGCTGTCATAATTCTTGCTTTCAGTTCATCTTTGTTGTTACAAGGAGTTTTGTTGGTCTCTCGCTCAACTGTACCCTACACATAATAATCAAAGGGTTTGCAGTCTGGTGAGTTAGGTGGATAGATGTAAGGAATGATGTGGTCGCAGAAATTGTCTGACAGCCTTGACTGGGTTTTCATACTTATGTTGCATGGTGCAGAGTCCAGTTGCTAGAATTGGAATCTTTTAGCACTACCTCCCCAAGTCATTTGATGTAGGCCTCAGTGTTGAGTTTGAGGTACTGTGGGAAGATGAAAAGACATATCATCGCCATCACAAGTGATCACTCCAAACACCTTCGTAATCCCCATTAGACTTATTCAACTCTTTCCAAATCCTACGCCTTCTCCTCGGATTGGCCCCCATCACACTGAAATGTTTGTATTGGAACTTTCGGTGCGAATGCCAAACAGTACAGCTAGCTATTTCCAAATTTCTGGTGGGGGGAATTGCGTCACGGTGCTCTTTTTCTCACAGACAGTGAACAACTAACCCTATTATACTATGCAGTCAACAAAATAAAAAGGAAACAAAGCGCATGCGCGAAATTTAAAATATAAAATAGCGACAATTTAACTATCGCACCCTGCATGGGACAATCTTGCGTCATACTTTATTAAGCCTGGTACATATCGATATTCCTATCTGATAACACATCTAGAACAAGTATAGATTCACACGCAAATAAACATGTTTGTACATGAGAAAACTTGAGAATTTATTTATTGATTTAACTGATTGCCTTTCTGATTTTTTCTTTCTCCGAGCGATTTTTTCGCTTTTTATTTCATCTGAAGATTTCTCTTATCTTTAGGTTTCGAATCAAAAGACCAGATTACATGAAATGACTGAAGATCTAACTAGACTTGTTAACTACTTGTAATCAAGGAACTATAAAATAGACATCCTCAAGTAGAAGATCCCTCCCGGTGTCTCAAGCGTTCTTCTCTAATTAAGAGTTTCACCAAAATGTTTTTCACTTCTGGCACTTTTTAGTTTTAATCTTTTTCCCCGGTTATCATCAACACTAACAAAGCTGCAAGCGGCAACATTATTATTATTTATTTATTTTAAGCTATTTTGTATTTACTGCGGCTTAAGCAGGTATATAATCAGGCTATAAATGTTAAATCAGTGTATCTTCATGCCTTTCTATGTCCGCTTCGGCCAACAGCTGATGGAAGCGAGGCCATATATTTGTACGGCTGTCGCTCTTGCGGAAGAGCTCCTATTACATAAATGAATCAGAATTTCCACCTCGTAATTTTTCACTTCCTGCTAGAAACACCGACCATCGTTTCGATGATAGTTTTCTAAATGTTTGGGGGTTTTCTACCTGTAGTGAACTATTTGTTCATGTCCGTTGTGATGAATGTTTATCTTAATTAATACTATGTTCCTCGAGACTGCAAGGTGAATGAAAAAAAAAAGTATTGTAGAATATAGAACAAAGATAAAATAATAAAAAAATGAAAAGGGAGAAGAATATTTGACTGGAAAATGGAAACAAAGAAAACAAACAAAAAAATAGGGATAGAACATAATTGGTAACATGATACTAGAGATGTCACAATGGGTAAAAAAAAAAAAGAAAGACAACCGAATTTAACAGAAAAAAATGCATAAGAAAAAAGAAAAATAGAAACGAAATTCAGAAAGAAAACTAGTACAATTCCACGATAAAAAATAAAACCGCCATAATGGCACCTGGAACTATTCTTCCAGGCCTTCCGTAACAATAGGTAAGCATCATTAGAACATGGCGTAGAATTCTTAGACAACTGAAGGCATCGATAAGAGAAACGATGCAGAACTAGTTTGTAACAAAGAATAGAAGAAAAAATTAATTCCCTTATTGAATGCTCAATTCTTTTGAGGGAAATATGAAGAAATGTTAAGAAAAAGAGGAGACAAGATTATCGATGTCTAAGTGTGTGTTTACCCGCACGCATGCGCAAAAACATTAATACAGCGTACATAGCGAGACAATACCATAAAGGCACTGGTTATTTTAGATACTATTATAATATACCTTTAAAATTAGTCATATGATGTTTTCTTACAGTCGCAAAATTAAGAAAGATCAGGTATCTTCTATGTAGAAGAAACGAAGGATCTCTGCCAAAATGAAGGCAAACCTAAAACTAAAAAGCTTTCTTACTACACTTGTACTTCATCGTTGTGCTGTTGATACTATCACATAATCTTGGCCGATCGGTTCTACAGCATTCTTATGGTGAATACTTCGTAAAGAAAGAGAAATGTTTGCTTTTTCATCAAGATGGTAACATAAATATAGAGATTTCATTAAGCTGAATGAAATTCAAGAATTTTCAAAATACTTCATGCACTTGCAGAAAGTTGAAAAGCATATCGACGAAATAGCTGAAGCAAACAAGAAAAATTGAATAATACGCGGAAGTGCTGAAAATTTATTAGCTCGACTAACTTTCTATAATCTGACCAAATAACGAAACGCGAGAATTTTTTAAATCCTTCCTTGGTCTGGCTGATAATTTTTCGGTTTTCAACGGCAACGATTACAAGAAAGTTTAAAAGTTTGTGGGAAAATTGCATCTATTTGTGTTGTTTATTTTTATCCAAGTATTTACTGCCTGATTAGGATGAGTAATCCATAAGAAAAATGTTTGCTTTCTTTTTATCAACAAGATGGCGACAGATAATGAACGCTCAGCTACCAACTAAATCACTTCATTCCAGAAATGCGAGATACACACATGGAATCTGATTATGGAAAGATAATGTTAAATGTTGAATAAAGAATCAAGATTAGTCTATTTATAAACGGCACCAACTTGAAAATCTTGAATTTCATATTTCAATAAAAATTACTGAATGTAACACCAAAATGAATTTCTAGCTTTTTTATTTCATTTCTCCCTTAATACTGAACTTTTACTTTTACCATCTACTGAAACGAACCTTGGAAGAGAGGGAAGTTGAAATTGAATAAACCTCTTGATACATTTCCTACGCTAACAGTAAGACGGTGTGCGTGGTATGTAACTGATATCGATGCGGAAAATGGAACATTGGCAAGCCGTGTTCAAATTCTGTGATAGGAATTTTTGTTTATTTTTTTCACAAATGACCTCGAAAAAACATGAGTGCATCTCTTCTCCTTCATCCAGCTATGGATTAAATAGCGGAGTATTCAGGGACACTAGATTTGTGTGGCTTCCTGTCTAAGAGGATTCAAAAGACATAGAGAAGCCAAAGTTAAACCGATCTGTTATCTTTCCGCAAAATGCGTGAAATTTGAAAGATAAAAAGAAAAATATGCGGTGAGCTATGATCATCTACGCTTTGAAGAAACATAGCTTAAAATGATAGAGAAAAAAGAAAAAAAGGAGGGAAAATTGTTACTGTGCTTAAAATGATGTAATTAATTCAGATAAATATATGAGAACAGATTACAGGATCGGTTGTTGCTAGCCATTTGATTAAAAACGTTGTAATTTACCAAACTTTGCTCGGAGAAGTAAAATCTTTGTTTTGTTTTAAACTTAATGTTCATTCAGTACAAAGCATATGAACAACTCAATGTAGAGTTTTACCGTGTGTGATTGTTGTATAAAGGGAAGAGGAAGCAAGTTCAGATTATGAGGATATATAAGACAGATAACTGTTGGTCGTAGACTTGAAGAGGTTAAGATTGTTAAATTGTTAAAATTGTCCTCTCGGAAGTCTGTTCCACAAAATATTGGATCTCGGGAAGAAGCTTTCTGGCCAGGACTCCATTCTTACCACTGGAATGCAAATGGAATTAGAATGATTCGACCCTGTGTGCGTGGCATGGTGTGTCGTAGCTGTAAAGGTCTGAACTGGTGTAATTAAGGAATGGTATTATAAAACGAGCACAAGTCATGTTCAGTTAGATATACCTTCAGGTTGGTTAACACAGTCCGCTCAGTCCGTATTCGATTGAAAGTGTTTCCAAGGATCTAGATTTAATTCCAAAGTCGTCTTGTTTGTCTTATTATTCAAACTTAAAAAAATAACCCAACGAGAGCCAGTGATGAACTTCTTCCGTTACTCCCATCCATGAACAAAGATGCTCAGTGCGTCAGCCCCCTTTAGGTCAGGCAATGCAAAAGCAAATCTGAACAGAATATATACTGTAAATCATCTACAATCAATTAAGATTAAAAGCCATGCCTGATGTAGGATCAGGGCATTAATTATTGTTATTATTATTACTATTGTTATTCTTGTTTACATTGATTTGCCGTGTAGTTTCACTTATTTAATATAAAAAATACAAACATGGGTCATAAATTCATCAAGATTATCAAGATTAAGACAAAGCCAGTGCCAAGAATGCATGCTAGCTTCATTCTTTATAGTCTAATAAATTTAATTTAAATTCCTAAAATAAAGCATAAGTAGTGTTATATAGCAGTTTCTAATAGTAACTCTTACAAAGCACAGATAACATTAAGTAAGTGTTAAAATATCCGACAGCATTGACGTGATTATACCTTTAATTTAAATCACCACAATAAACCATAACTATTTTATAATGCAATTTCTAATGGTCACTCTAACAAAAACAGAGATATCATTATGTAAGTCCGCATTAGCAATAAATATATTAATATACAGTTTTATTGAATTATATACAGAGGAAAATGGGGAAATTGTCGCCATTTTATATTTTAATTGCGCGCATGCGCCTTGTTCGCTTCTGATTTTGTCGACTGCACAGTATGGAAGGCTCAGTTGATCACCGTCTGTGAGAAAAAGAGTATCATGACGCAATTCACTCCGCCAGAAATTTGGAAATGGCATGCTGGACTACTTGGCATTC